ATGCATATAATATATTATATATATATATATATATATATATATACAATATATGCACATATATATATATATACATGCAATATATGCATATATATATATATATATATATATAAAATATGCATATATTGTATATATATATATATATATATATATAATAATTTATATATATATAAATTATTATTTAAATTAGTAATAGCACCTTAATTTTTAGTTTTTTTTTTTTTTTATTTGGTATTTCCCCTGTCGATTCTAAAAATAGTAATCTTTTTCTGCACTGCGTCATTTCGAATACTAATCTATGTCATATGGCTCTTACGTAACGCTGATTGAAGTAAATAGAACTAAAACTCAAGCATTCAATAATAATTTTACAGCAGCATTAATTGTCTATCCAAACATACTAAAAACTCATTCTGAATTAAGATTTCATCCTAAGCAGAATAATTTAACTTTATGTTTCAGTTTGGTGTTTTAGTTTATTATGCTTAATAAATCCCATTGACCAAATTACATTGGTATTTATTAATATATACTGGTAAATAACATTATTTATCACATTAACTAAACACATGGCTGTTATTAATACTAACTGGATTTTTCACTTCCACTGTAATATATACAAACACATACCTACAATAGCTACAAAGAAAAGTCACTTGTTTTCTACACTTCGGCCTAGCTGGATTGCTGCTACCTGCTCGCTTTTACTGCAAAACTATCAAAGATGTACACGCTTTGAAATAGGCACAAGTAGTGTGCCAAGTTGTTTCTGGTCGCCAATTGTTTTTTGATATAAAGATGAACATTTAATCTGACTAGGCTGCCAAGTTTGCTTTTCATGATGGATTAACATTCTACGCAAATCAGTATTTCTACATCATAATTACTTCTAATTCTATTGCTCTCATTATATATATATATATATATATATATATATATATATATATATAAATTAAAAAACATACTTCTAATGTACTATAAAAAGCTTTGATAGAATATTATTGCTTTTTTCAAGAAATGTTTCAGTTACAGATAAAAATCTTTAGTAAAAGTTATTCATATGCTAATAACTGCAGACATTTGTGCTGCTTAAAATTAGATATACTGCTAAGACAACTCCACGTTACTTTTATACAGCTCACTAAAGGTATTCTCACGCTACAGTGTACTAAAGTATCTATAGTACACTAATATTTTTAACAGTGACTATACATATATATATATATATATATATGTATGTAGTATATAATAATTTATTTCCTAAACAGTATAGATTAATTGATTATATTATCTCCTAAGTTTAATTAAAGTAGAATTATTTTAATAGTGTGCATCCATACTGGTAAGTTATATTTTGAAAGATGTTTTGAAGTAATTTGCAAGCAAAATGTTAATAATGTTTTAACGGGGACTGGAGTTAAATCATCACGAAGAATAATATTTCAATTGTAAAAGGAAAAATTAAAACATGTAATCATTGTCATTGATCGGAAATTGGTTGACTTTTCAAGGGGAACAAACCAACTCCCGTTAAATGAACAATAATTGATAAAAATACGTAAATACGAAAGTGTTTCGTCTTTACTGGAGTTATAAGTTAAAGCCAAACCGGCAATTCTAGTCAGGCCAAATATTTCCGCGAATAGTAGGAATTACGAACCAATGCTGATACTCAAAGATCTTATTCTTATGAAGCATTTTAGTCAATTCAATTTGGAGTAAAAATCAATTACTGTAGAGAAATCCTATAAAACTCGAGTAACCGTCCCCGACACTTTCATGTTTATGCATTTGAGTACTATATTATTTTTAGAAATTAGACATTGGAAATTGTCATTATGAAATCGAATTCAAAGTAAAGTTGAAATAAACATAGAAGATTATAAAAAAAGATAAATAATGCAAACTTTGTAAAAACAAATCAAAGAAAATATAAAAATAATATAGAAAATAATATAAATAAGATCATTGAATGTACATGAAGATATAAAGGCCAGAAAAGGCATTAAGTAACTTACATTCTTTCCAGTGGGGGAGTTGGCAAAGTGTTCTCTTCGTGTCTGACTCAGAAATGTAGGGTGTCCGAAAATTCTTAGTGGCAGTAGGGGCTTTGAATAATATCAGTCGATAAGACTTGGGTGAAGTAATTTATGGTAGTGGGTGGGACTTGTGTGTGTGTGTGTGTGTGTAAGGTAAAAAATATGTAAATCAAAATTATAATTTAAATTAGCAGTAATCCATAATTACCCCTCTGTCCTAAAAATCGTAATAACTTTTCTTAACTGCATGATTTTTATATCAGTCCATCTCGTATGGTTTACGTAACGCTGATGATATAGCTAATTCGGAATATGAACTCAAAATGTTGAGAACTGAAACCTTTCTAACCTAAACCGAAACCTTCGCTTGGTAAGCTTCCATACCGAATAACTACGCACTTTAGCTTTCTTTCTTCTTCTGTTTACCTCGATGACATGTCGCTTAACCTCTACTAGATATTGTCCATGGTTCTAAAAATATCATCTGTATAAAATTGTGTACAGCGCACCCACAATGATGATGCGCAACAAAAACGTATATGTGTCCTAAGAATTAGTTATCAAGAAATAAAATTATGTATAGAATATATGGCTATGTCTCTCTTTTAGTGTCATCTTTCTAATTGCGCAGTAAAAGCTTTCCAAGTTACAACGCACAGAACCATTTCCAATCCGTTGCAGATTTCTCCAAGTCATCCTGTTACATACTTAATATACTGATATAACGTTTTTGGATTGCTTACATTATGATTCGTTTGCGTTTTGATATTAAAAACTGTATATAAAGAATAAATTCACTGCATAATTAAATGACATGTAAAATAAGAGGACTACATTATAAAAAGCAATGTGTTTCTCTTTTGAAAGCAGAATTCAAATATTAAATCATTACTAACAGTTTATTTATGCAATCTATCTTGTGTTTTATCCAACTTGTGATATTTATTTAAAAAATACATCTGACACACTTACAAATATGCGAAGTAATTCAAAATGAATGGCAAAAAAAAATGCATTTCTTATTTATGAATTTATTTCACAAATATAAATGTGACATGAGAAGGCTAACTTTCCAATTTCTTTTGTTAACACTGAAAAGCTGGCCATTTCTGTAACATTTCTCACTAGAGGGGCTTATATTCAAATTGTTGGCTTCAATGAAATGAAATTTTATTGTTTGTTAGAATACGCAAAACCATCATCGGCAAATGTTGCTCAAAAAAATTTCCACATCACATTTGATAATGAAGTACCTTACATCGCATCACAACATACCAAGTAGAGAGATCAGTTTGACGACATACGTTGCTTATTCAAGGAAAAAGTATAGGATTTATCCCTGAAACAAAGCGCAGGTGGAAAATATTCGAATTATTTACCGACGAAGCCTCGCGCTAGAAAACACTTTAGCACGCAACGTGCAATAAAATAGTATGTATAATACTAACATTTGCGGTTCAACCCATACAAATTTCATGTGATAAAAGGCTACTGAGAAACCAAAATAAAGAAACATCTGCCAGTATTTGTAAGCACAGCTTAGGCCGGGTAAATTTGCGTTCAGAATTATATTCGCTAAAGTGAACGAGTATAACTTGAGATTTGAGAGCTAAGGAATTACCATTTGTTACACTGCAACATGAATGCAATTCTCTGAAAGTAAACGCTTTTTAGGCTTGAGTTTGATGTATTTGATCTTTTTTTTTTTTTCGGGGAGCTTCCGTTCCCAACTGAAAGAACAGATACTCAGCTTTAATCTCTAGCAAATGAAGCACCTGCCACTTTCACTTACACACGCATACGATTACCTCAGTCAGCATGTTCCAGCAAATTACTTAATGCCTTGCGCTTTTTCCTTTTCGGGGATAGACTCCTAGCGGTCGAACGGTAAAATCGTTGAACACTGATAATTCTGTCTGGGGCTCCAAATACCGGCGAATGAGCTGCCTGCATTGGCGCTTTTGTGGATTTCTTCATGTGTAACGTACGAATCAGCTCCCCTTACAAAGTCCACCATGAAGGTATCTCTTCTCCTTAGGTCGAATGCTTTACCATAATTAACTAAACCAAACCAAGTGTTTGGGGTAAGTGGAAGAACAAGGTGTTCGTACCAATACTTCCACAATCTTATAGCAGTTAAAGCAGATGGTAGGCGATGCCTCGACTCAATTTATCAGACTCTGTTCGGTTGGAACGCCTTTACCTACATCTAGACTACGGTAAACACTTCTATCGTGTCTCAAAAAGCGCCCATGTCCAAAAATTCCAGGTATATCCGCAGGAATTAAGAGAGTTAAACTTTCATAATGTCTCTATTTATTAAAAAATGTAACGCAACTGTCACGGATATGTCTTTCTTTTACAACATATGATTAATAAGTAATCTTTAAATTTCGTGAAAATTTCGCAGGCTGGGAATTTGTTGACTTCTTCTATGTCCATGCAGTGTCTGTTGTCTTGCAATAATGTAATGCAATAACAGTAATCCTGAATACGCGTTTCAAATTTAGAAAAAGATCGTTCGAGCAAATATTTTTTTGACCTGATCCTCTCGTGTTACCTCTAAGCCTGTGAGCATTTAACGAATTAAAAACCTTAATTTAAAATTTTAGGTATTTGAATTTTTAGACTGGATTTTCTTACCTTTTTCCGGAAGATGTTATAAGACACTTACAAATTCTTTGGTTTTTAAAGTTGACTATGATTCTACGGTGTTTCAGAAGTATCAGTTAGTTCATAGTTGTGAATATTTCTTATGTTAAAATGTTTAGACTCATAACATAAATTTTCAGTTAAAGTTAATTTCAAAATAAATTTTGTTTACCGTATGCAAATAATTTGTGTTGTGGTTTATGGTATAAGTTACAAACGTGTATTGAGCTTAATTATGGCTCTAACTGCATGCTGTATCTATCATACATTTCCTGTTTATAACATCAGTTCTACTTTTTTTTTTTTTTCCAGGGATTGACGGTAGCTATCTCGTACGTTTCTTGGAAACGTAAAGTAAGTACCACTATTCTTTTAATTCAACTTCAAATGAATTTTATACAACAAAGTAGCGCACAATGCGAATCTGCTTAAATAATCAAATCATTATTGAATGATTTGCTGAGAATGACATAAATGTTAACCAAAGTAGTGTTTATGATTATGTAATTAAAATTAACAAAGCAGTTGCGGTTCAAATGACTTTGATGTTTATGTGTATTTCCATAGTATATAATCACAAGACTGCTGATTATAGGAGCTTAAACGCTGAATTATAGAATCATTTAACTGCGTTATTATAATGAGTTTATTAAATTTTATGTTAAAGTAAGAATAATTTTTAATGTGACTAGGTATAACTGTAATAGCCATTTTGAGATCCGTATGGAAATGAAAAAAGAGTGGATCGAATTTCAGGATAATGTTACTTTATTTCGAAAAACTAATTAAACAATTTGTCAAAAACTTGTGTGTTCAGGTATCTGTATTGCTTAATGGTGTAATTCGCTGATATTTATTTTCGATATCATTCTTTTATTTTATTGTTCATGTCTTCATGATAAATGATACATATTGAATCTGCTTATATGCATGTATCGATTGATTGTACTTATGTTTATCTTCTTGTTAATTGATTTGCAGTGATTTTTATTTTCGGGTAAATCTATCTGTCGAATCAGTCAATCGGTATGCCAACATACCTTTCTATCTGCATTAGTATCTGAATTCTGTATCATTATTATCACCTACCTTTATTCCCAATGTTTTATTACTATAAACTGCATAATTAGCACGTTTTCTTTTGTTAACAGCTAAATATCAGACTGATAATTATTTTATTTTATTAAGATGGGCACTTCATCATAATTATGGCACAACTTGCTTTGTTTTATTCAACTACCACGGAGGAAATGAAAAGAAAGGTTTATTTTAAATTAATGCAGTCTAATTTTATTCGAAAGCATGACTTGACCGTAGTAGTTAAAAAATTCTAGCATTTTTAGATGATGCATTAATAAAAGTTCCATTATCCATATTAATTAGGATACATTATTAAAAATTTTCTATTGTAGGATCCATACATGCTTGAACAAAGGCTGAGTTTTGACTGCCATACTGAAAGTGCTGCTACGTAAGTATCTTCTGTAAAAACTTTTACGAGAGCGTCTTCTAATTGGTAAATTCATATTAATATGTATTAGTATTATATTGTATAATATGTATTAATATTATATTGTTTTATATAAACTCACGCTCACACACACTTATACATATTTCATACATCAAGGTACAAAGTTTTAGGGAAGGATCTATATTCCTAGATTTTAGTATCATATAGATCAAAGTTAGCGTACTTTTAGCAAAAAAAAGGCGTTAATCCTAATGGGCTCTTAATCTCGAAACTTAATTTTGTTTCTTTCACTATAAACACAGAATCACTTTTCAAATTATTGCAAACAAACGGGCCACCAGCGGTCGAGCAGTAAAGTCCCTGATCATTGGTAGTTCGGTCCGAGTTTCGAATCCCGCAAACGGGCTGGCTGCATCGGCGTTTTCGTGGTTTTTCCCATGTGTAACGTGTATGCGAACCAGTTTACGTCCTTACCGACCTTAGAACGTCCTCTCCGAAGGCATCACTCCTCTTAAGCAGATAGTCGTAGTGTGCTTTTCGGTAATCAAATAAACAAAACCAAAAGTTGCCACCATGCATCATCGCCCTATATTACCTTTAAAGAAACTAAATAACGAAGAATTTGCATGTACGTACGTGTGTACCTCACATTGTGAAGAAAGGACGGTACTTAGACCCATTTAATTTTGACTAATGTAGTTCTCCACCCGACCATGTGCACCTGGAAGCCCGAGTTTTTGATTTCGAATTTTATATTTCATGAAATTTTTATTAACAATCTCAGCGATTTAAAAACGAGCGGTAGGAAGACTGCATAGAATAAAATACTTTGATCTCCAAGGCCCGAGACTGTCTGTCGTAAATTCTAAAGATATGCTGTTTTTAAATATTTTGTAATTTTGCAGTTGATTTGAATTTTATATATCGTAATTGCAAAGAACAGTATATTGAATAACTAAAGTTAACACACAAAACATTAATAATGGAAACAGAAAAGAGTTTGCAAACAATCTTACGAACAATCTTACAATCTTACTAAGAAAATTTAACATTGATATGATGAACTGAGAAAAGAACGCAAAAAATAGAATAAATATATGCTGCTATGATGCATTTAAATTTTTTCTAACTTTTCCGTTGAATCGTATATTGCCGAAGTGCGAAGAAAATAATGCTTAATGCTAAAGCTAAAATGAAATGGGTTAGCAGGAGTGAGTGCAGCAGCAGACTGGTAGACTGCAAGATCAGCGAGAGAGTAAAAAACCTTAACAAATCCTTTTGGGTGATCGTTAAAATTTGAACTCTTTTATTTTTTTCTTCCTTGTACGAAGTAAAGAGGACGTATTGTAATTGCGAATAATTTTTTGGGTATCATATTTCAATGAAAATATCCATTTTGACCGCTATCGAATGCAGTTTAACGATGTTTTTGCCTGACATCTGTACGTAAGAACAGAATAAAAGATTCGTTTTCCCCCAAAAATTATAAAACTGATTTAAAATGGATTCTGAAGACATTCTTTTCATAGCGTCTGTACGAACGTACGCATATATGTATCTCACATAATTCAAAAACAACTAGTCTTAAAAATTTGAAATTGTATATATAGGACTGCTATAACATGTACCTCCTATTTTGGCTGTAATCGGATGCACCAAAAGTGTATAAGTATATGTTTATATACAGGGTGACAATTATGAATTGCATGAAATAAAACCGTCATAATTTCTGAACGGTTTGCGTGATGAAGTTCCAACTTCGTGGCTGACTGCAGGGCATGTTAGGAACTAGTATGCGCATGCTCACTCAACTTGTTATTGTCGACCATTTTCAAGTGGAAATGTCATAATACAGCGTGTCTGAGCGTATAGCGCTTGTGAAGGCCTATAATGCGAGCAATAACAGCCCGATTGCGTCTCAAAGGAAGTTTGCGACCAAGTACAGGCTGAAAACCACCAGTCCAAGTCTAGAATTTGAGAAAATTCATAGTGTTTGTGATGACAGTGCTGGCAATGTCAGTCTACAAACAAATGTGAAAACGCCTGAAAACATCGAGAAGACACACGCTGTGTTTTTGCAACAGGATGGGAATCAACCGGGAAACTCTGCGACAAATTTTTGTTGAAGACATGCATCTCTTCCCATACAAAATTCAAACCCATCAAAGATTAAGGCCCATGGCCATGGAACAACGGTTGTGTTTCTCCAAATATTGTCGAGAGAAGTGACGAACAGCAATTTGTTGTGAATATGACTTCGTTTAGCGACGAAACCCATTGGATGGGTTCGTCAGTAAGCAAAGTTGAAGCATTTTGGGGACTGAGAATCCGCATTTTGCGATCAAAAAGTCTGTTCATCCTCAACGGGTGACTGTGTGGTGTGCAATGTCCAGTCACGGAATAATCGGTGCGATATTCGTTGACGGCACGATGACTACTGAAATATACGTAATAAAGATTTTGGGAAATGATTTCATCTCAATTATCCAAAGTGCCTCTGATTTCGACAAGATGTGGCCCATGCAAAACGAAGCTTGACCTTAATGGACCAAGTATGTGTTTGATGTCCTAGAGAAGTACTTTAGGGACCGCATTCTGCCCAGGGCCCACTTGATTGCGACTCGCTTGTCCGCCATATTCTCCGGATCTGAAAACGTATGACTCATTTTTGTGCAGCTATGTTAGTGTGTACAGAAAGACAGTGTGTACAAATAACCACAAATCCATCGCTGAGCTGAAAACTGCCATTCAGGAGGTCATCGACAGCATCGATGTTACGACACTTCAGCGGGTCATGCAGAATTTTGCTATTCGCTTGCGCCACGTCATAGCTAAAGATGGCAATCTTATCGAGCATGTCATAACCTAAATCAGAATATCTGTAGTGATCATGTCGATTAAAACTTGTGCACTCAGTAGTTTTTAAATAACTTACGTTTTATTTCATATAGTTCAATAATTGTCACCGTGTATATTCACTCTGTTACTCGGCTCAGTGAGCTGAATTTTTTTATTCTTATATGTTTGTAAATTGTGCATTTTTTGCTTTACAAATGATTGAATTATCTTGTTCTTATTGTTCTTATCATTAGGTTTTTTTTTTTGCAATATTTGTAGAATTATCAAATAAATTTAAAAATTAGAATTATCAAATAAGTTTAAAAATTGTTTAAGTGCGGCTAAGTACTTACGATGGCAGTCATGTTTGTTTACATTTGAAACTTATCAGAATATTGGATTTGTTTCCAATATAGAGAAACTAAGCTTCGTTACAACAAAGTAACGTCTTCTTTTATTATTGCGAATTGAATTATGCTTAATCCATTCTGGAATTATCATTTAAGTTATTACATTATACCATATACTTACTCTACATAGCGTTCACAACAAATTAAGTCAATTTCTACGCCTTCAGTGTTTTTTTGCCAAGGGAGAACAAAAACAAACTTTCAGTTTTGTGCACCGAAAAATTTGTCTTCTTACCCGCTGGCCAAATTGCTTGCTTTCGCGTAGAAACTGTAATTTTAATTTTAAAAATTGTTTCTTTAATTTTTTAACTGTATTTGGTGTTTTATGTTTTTCTACATCTTTAAATTTTTAATGAAGATATTTTGTGTTTTTATTATTTTTGCCTTGCCGGGAAATGAGAACTGAATTAATTGAATGAGAAGTACATCTCTAATGAAATTCGAGGAAATAAATATGAAGTGTTTCATATTAGCATAATATACTGTCTCCAGTCTGTTCGAACAGAGGAGAATATTTACGAGTAGCTCATGCGCAGTAGGTAAGCAGTGCTTAATCGTTTGTGAAAAACCGTTTATTTTTATTTGTTTAATTTCTTTTATAAATCGTTTTAGATTTATTACAGTATTTGAATATAACATGTGGCAACGATTAGCTAATTCTTCAGGTGATATAATTTTTTTGCGTTTTGAGTTATAAAATGAAAGAGATATAACTCTGTTAAGTGAACCTAGCGCCAGAGTATCGCTATAGTAAATAATTACAGTGAATTTTAAAAAGCGTATTTATTCTATTGTGATTTATGTGCTACTGACGAAGTAGATTTAATTTAATTCAATAAGTTTAAAGTAAACGCTGAAAAAATGCGTGTAATTAAATATTCCGTACAAGGAAGTCATATGGCAGGGGTGGCTAACCTGCGGCTCGCGAGCCACATGCGTCTCTTTGAAGGATTATTTGTGGCTCTCGATAAATGTACCCAGTTCCCTTTTCATTTTTGTGTTATTATATTTTAAAAGATTATTATCGTTCCGTATGTGTTTTAAAATGTCTTTTAAATTACAGGCAACAAATATGAAAGTGCAACGTTGTAACAAATTTCATTTCCGTCCATCGTCTCTTGATTTTTTTTTTTTTTTTTTTTTTTTTATCCATTTGAAATTAACATAATTCAAAGCGACTTTTCTATTTCCAATATAATTATGACACAAAAAGCATTTGGGGAATTAGAATGAATAGAGATGCAAGAAGATCAAGCTCTACAATTAAAATATAAATCGACGCCGATTGGTGAATTCTGGAAATTTGCGCCAGAATCGAAGTATTCTGAATCAAAAAAGGCTGCTTGTCAAATTATTTCAATATTCAGAACAACGTACTTTAGTTAATACTTAGTTAGTACTTTAGTTTACTTTAGTAATTTTTCATATTTAAATTCAATACACATATTTTGTACTTTTATTTATGTTTTCAATAAATATAATTTCTGTGAAAATATTTTAATACCTTTTTTGCATACCTTTTAAGTACGTATTTAATTTCAGCTCACGGAAAATTTCAAATTTTGAAAAATGGCTTGACTATCAAGGAGTTTGGCCACCTCTGTCATTTGGTGTGCAGATCAGATTTTTTTAAATTTTAGTTTATTTATTTAATACATACTATTTTTAATACATGCTCTAGTTGAGCACTTAAATATACACTGGTTATCATAAATTAAGGAAAAATCACAAAAATAGCGATAACTCCCTCAA